AGACCTACAAAAGAAAAGGGAATCCTGAATACCAAAGGTAAGTAAAGAGATTTCACAATCTCTGACTTGAAATTATACTACAAATCTACTATGAAAAAATCATCATGATGTTGGCTTAAAAATAGACCTGAGGATCAATTAAGCAGATTAAAATATGCAGATATATCTCCAAATACCCTCAGCTAATTTATCTTTGTCAATAGGATGAAACATATTCCCTGGAAGAAAGATAGCCTCTTTAAAAAATGATGCTGGAGGGGCTGGGGATTTAGCTCAGTTACATAAGCACCTGCCTTGCAAGCAGCTGGTCATGAGTTTGATCCCCGGTACCAATAAAAAATTTAAAAATAATGGTGCTGGAAAAATTGTCTTTGCAGAGGCTGAAGACTAAAAGTAGAAACATATCTACCATCATAAAATAAACAAAAGTCAAAAGACATCAAAGATCTAAATATTAAAAAGAAAACATTACATTTTCTGAAAGGAAAAGTAGGTACAAATCATAAAATGTTTGGTGTAGGCCGAGTCCAAGAGCAAAAACCAAACTACAAGGGAAGCCTTCAAAGAATCAGCAACTGGGCCTGATATTATTAAAAAAGATTTGTACATCAAAAGAAATGACCAACAGAGTGAATAGAAAACCCACAGACTTGGAAAAAAATTCAGCCAAATTGTGCATTAGACAAGAGACTTCTAAGTAGGACATATAAAGAAATTTTAAAACTCAGGCCCCCTAATTCAAAGACTCAATCCAAAAGCTGGGCATCTGAGATTAATACATACTTCTCAGATTAAGTAATGAAAATGGCTAACATAGGTGAAAAAAATGTCAACATCTTTGATCAAAGGAGAATTGCAAATTAAAACACTGATATTCCATCTCACTCCACAAAGAATAGCTATCATCAAGAAATCAACTAATAATAAATGCTGAAGGGTTACAGATAAAAAGGAAGCCTTCTCCACTGTTGGTGTAAGTGTAAGAGTGGTACAACCATGTTGGAAGTCAGTGTGTAGATTCTCCAAAATAGGATTAGAGGTCTCATTTGACCAAACTATTTCCCTTTGAGTATTTCCCCAGAACAATGAATAAACATCATAGTACAGCCATATATGTGCAACTGTGTTTATAGAAGCACACTTGTATTAGCCAAATCTTGGCATCAAGCCAAATACCAATCAACTAATGAGTGGATAAAAAGGATGTGGAATTTTAATGTAATGCAGTACTCAGGTATAAAGCGGGATAAACTCAAGGCTTTTATAGGTAGATGGTTGCAACTAGGGTCCATATTCTTAAGTGATATAAATCAATCTTCATGTGCAAATATTGTTTCACTACAGTAGGAAACTCAGTGTAAATAAGATTCAAAATCTACAATAGGTATTGTGAAACAGCTCAAACTGAAAAATCATTGAAGAAGGTAAAATAATATATATGATTGCTAAGATAATTTTACTAATAATTTCTTGTAATTCCTTGAAAAAGATGGCTTGTGCTTATATTTTAGATTAATTTTCCATGCCTATGTCTTATAATCTGAGCAACTCCTTTGAAAATAACTTTATGCAATGCATTATCCATTGTTAATTTCTTATTACTGGGTTTTGAAATTCTGATCAGTTTCTATTTTTAATTCATTTTTTAAAATAAAAAACAGTAAAATAAATATGAAGGCCATCTCATCAGAATAGCAGTTTACTCAAACCAAGTTACTAAGGGAGATTTCCAGTAAAACTTTTTGAAGCCCTGAAAATATTTCAAAAAAATTATTATGTTCTGAAAAATTGTTGTTCAAAATTAATGAAGAAATTTACTTCCCGTGACATATATAACCCTAAGAAATCTTTGACTACCAAAATAGCATTGCAGAAAAGAACAAGGGACTACTATATAGCTTCTGTGAAGTTGAAAACCAAAAGAGAAAAAGCAAAGAAGAAAAAAAGAATACAAAAAGTAGTTAAAAATAGTAAAAAGGTGCATTTGAAAAATAATATGAGTATGCAGCATATATATTTCAATATCAAAGGTTAATGGTTTGATTCTACATCAAAGAACAAATGGGCAGTTTAGATAAAGAAGTAAGAAAATTATAGTTTTTCCTCAAGACATACACTTTATGCATCAAAAAACATATAAACTAAAAGTGAGAGATTGGAAAAATATTACATGCAACTGGAACCCAAATAAAAGTAGGAATATCTATTCTCTTATCAGGCAAGGCACATTTTGAGCCAAAAATCTTCAGTAGTCATAAATAAATTCACTATTTTATCAGTCAGGTTTACTAGAGAAACATATAATAAAAAGTATAAATTACAAGATTGGCATACAAATTCAGATGAGGAAGCTACAAATTCAGATGAGGGAACATGCAAGGGTGTCTGTGCACTGGGGGATGAAGAGTCCAGCCCAAGATCTGACACTTACTGCAGTGGCCCATTGAAGTCTGTATAAGGAGATTGATGAGTCTGCAATGGAACACTCAAGAGTCTACACTGAAAGGCTGGAAATTCCCTGGTGGAAGCCATAGCATCTGTGCCAGAAGCCAGAAGATGACAGCCAAGCTGAAGGCTGGAGCTCCTCAAAGAAACAGTAATCAGCCTTTTATCATTTGACTTTTGTTGTAAGCAGGCTAATCCCCTCAAGTGGGGGTGGTACTCATGCCATCTGCATGCCCTCCTTTGTACAGACTGTGGATGTTACAAAGTAAGGACCCTGGTCCCTTCCTGAATTACTTAATCTTCTGACCTGAAATTGATACAGTGAACAGCATTCTAGGGTAATAATGACTTGTCTTCTACATTTATGGAGGTAGAGCAAGTGAGTCATTTATTTAAGTTTTTAGACTTCTCAAGTTGACACTGTGTAGCCACCATGACTTCATACTGGTAAAGTGAAGATTTTGACAGAAAATGATAACATTTTGAAATGCACAAGCACCAAAAATCAGCAGCCCATTTTGATTAAACAAAAATTTTACTACACATAAAAGAACAGAGAGACATTAATACAAGCATAGTGGTGAACTTTGACAAGTAGAAAATGCAACTTAAAAATACAGTAAGTTAAGAAATAATTGTCATATCTGAACCACACCATCAGACAAGTGGCCTTAACAAATATCTGTAGAGTTTCATTAACAGCAGTACACAGTCTTTACAGCTGTATATGGAATACTTTCTAAAATAGACCAAAGTTAGGTCACAAATCTGGCATAAATATAAAAAAAAAATTTAAAGAATCTATTACATACCATAGCATTCTATCAGAAGACAACTAGCAAAGCAACAGAAAATTAAGACACAGAACAGTTGGAGTTTGAAAAATACACTCTTAAATAATAAAGCAGTCCCAGAAAAAATCATGGAGAAAATTAAGAATTTCCTATAGTAATAAAACAAGGAAACACAGCACACAAAACCTATGAGCCAGTGACATAAATGATTCAGTAACTCCCAGCAATAACTCTCAATGCGAATGTTCTTGATTCACCAATCCAAACACACAGATTGAGAGAATGGATCAGCAAACAAACAAAAGAAATGAAACACAATGATATGCAACAAAAAAAGCATTTAACTCAAAAAGATATTCACAGGATTTGAAGATGATCTGGATGTGACATCTATCATCCAATTTATCACCAGGGTTGATGAAGCTGATTATTCTTCCTAGGCATGTATCCACTAACTTCCTCACTGCTCCATATGCACTCCTCTGGAAGCTAGTAGGTAAGTTGTTACATTTTAATTGTCGCTGAAACAAAATACCTGATGCCTAAAGTTGGGAACGGAAAGATTTATTTCTTACAGTTTTTGGAGGTTTCAGACCATACTCAATTGACTCCAAGGCAGGGTGGCATGGCGGGGCCACAGTTCATGGTGGTTGCAAACAGAGAGACAGAAAACCAGCAAGAGAAAGACATGCCTTCTTTCTGCCATTACATTGTATGCTGGCTCCACCCCTAGGTGGGTGTAGCACTGACACCATCAATCCAAACACTAGATAATGAACCAATCACAAATGCACAATGCAAACGCATGAGGCCTGGGGCCACTAATATAAGCCAAGACATAGGTCAAAAGAGATAATCACCAAAGATAGAGGAGGATTGATGCCTATGACAAGGGTATATAAGTAACTGCAGTCCTTTGCTAGAACCTCCAAACAAACTCTCAAAAAGATATTCACAGCATAAAATCAAAGGTGAGAAAACAATATGGTAAGTACATGCAAAAGAATCAAAATAATTCCAGGCATATTATGGAATTATACACTGGTGAAACTAGAAGTTAACAGCAAATAAGACCATATAAACAATACAAACACATGAAAAATTAAGATATTTTAAGATTAACTATCAATACGGTTTTGCATAAATCATCATAGAGTATTTGCATGTAATATATCTTACTTATTTCCCATTCATCTCCTTTCTCTTTAAACTTTTTCTTCTCTTTACAAAACTTTCTTTCTGTTATTTTTTTCTAGTCAGTTTTAATTTTTTTTTTATTTTTATTTTAAGGGAGTAAAAATTAAAAACAAGAAAACAGAACAAAATAGGACATAAGAAAGCAATGTAAGAGATATAAATTTCAAAGCTAGATGACCTGAGATCTTCTCTTTCATATTGTCTCTTGTTTTCTTTCAAATAGTTGTCTATGTCTTCGCATACAGAGAATTCATACAAAACAACATAGTTTAAAACTGATCCAAAAAGAATGAGGAAGGGGATTTAGGTCTTCAAAATCAGACAATAGGGAAGTCACTAATGGCTGTCATAGAATCTCTCGTTCTCTCCAAAATAACTGTCTGTACTTTCATGTATATTGAAGTTCAACAAAACAAACCAGGTAGGGGGAGGGGTTGCTTGGTTTCCCAGTACTGCAGGTCCCAGCATGGTGTGGATCCTAGTAAATGCTGGTGGCTCCCAATCCTGGGCCACTAGCATCTGCAATGCTCACAGCCACTCACAGAGTGGGGTAGGGTGGCTTCAAGCTGTTTCTTTCTAATTAATTGACTGTTTCACTGACCAAGTTCTAAAATGGCCAACAGATCATACCAAAGACATCTCTTTGGGCTGCTGCTTGAAACCAACAGCATCAGGAAGCTGTTGGCCTTGATTCAGTACCATTCTAGTCAGTTTTTTAAAATTAATTTCATTGATACATTTTATATTTGCATAATGATCATATGCATCATAGGGAATTTGTACTGATATGTGATATAATTTAATTCCTCTTTTTTTCCCAATCACCACTCCTCCTTTCAACATCTTCCCTTCCTATTTACAAAGATTTGTTTCCATTTTATGCTTTTTTCTTTTGTTTTGTTTTTTCCTTCCCTTTCCTTCCTTTCCCAGGTTCTCCACCATATTTTCCCATTTCAAAATATCTATTGTACTTTTTTATTGTTATTTACAGACTCAAAATTGTATGCATCACATTTCCACTCTGGCATAAAAACCTCTGAGTGAATTTCTCAGTTTCCCACCATACTTTTCCTTTCCAAAATATATATTGTGCTTTTTGATTATTATTTACAGACTTAAATGTTTATGCATCACATTGTCACTCTGATAAAATATTTCTAAGTTTGAATAAGATCCTTTTTACTCAATTTTATTTTGTATTTTTTAGCCCTTTCTTTTCCTTTCCCACATTTCTCGTTTCCCTTTCCATTTGAAGATTTTGTATCTACTTCTCAATATCTATCCTTCATGTTGAAGCTTATTTTCCCTTTGGTTTTTCACAAAAAAATAGGTGTGTTATTTAAACATATAAGTCTGATGGATTTTACTGAAAATTATGAAATCAGCATGCATAATCCTCAAAAATCAAAAATGAAAAGATTCATTTGATCTAGATATTTGACTCACAGGTATCTTTGTGAAAGAATTGAAAGCAACACACCACAGCAATGCATGAATATCCACAGCAGCACAGTCTGCAAATCTAAAGTTTGCAAATAGAATATATGCTCCTCAACATATTGATAGATAAAGAAAATATAGCTTTTTAAAATAAAGTGAAAAAGATAATCTTACATATAACAGTTATAGCCATTAGTATAAATGGCCTCAATTCATCAATAAAAAGAAACAGACTGGTAGAATGCATCAAGAAAAAATATCCAACAATATAATCTATATAAGAAACACATCTGATTCAAAAGGAAACTCATAGACTAAAAGTCAAAGGATAGAAAAGAATATTTCATGCAATAGGAACTCAAAAAATCAGGAGTAGATATTCTGTGTGCAGATAATATGAACTTCAAATGAAAATGAACAAAAGAGGGAAAGGAGGTCACCACATACAACTTAGATGAAAATTTCAAGAGGTGGAGATCATAAACGTGCATGTACCAAGTAGAGGAGCAGTCAACTACAGAACACAAATGTTAATAGACATGAAAAATCAAATGAGCAACAACACAATTGTAGTGGGAGATCCTAATGTCCCACTGCCAGAAATAAATAGATCAGCTAGACAAAAACAAAACAGCAAAGAAATATCAGAACTGAACCAAACCTGTGAACAAATGAACTTAGCAGATGCTTACAAAATATTCCATTCACCAATATCAGAAAACACATTCTTGTCAGCTGCACAAGGGGAATTCTCTAAATTAGACCATATAGTAGCCCATAGGACACGCTTGAGTAAATGTAAAAGAACAGCAATATTCCCATGTATGTTATCTGACCATAGTGCCATGCAATTGGCATTTTTCTGTGGTGAGAATCTCAGTGTTGTTTAAATTTGCATTTCACAAATGACCACTGATGTTGAACATTTTTCCATATATTCATTTGCCATTTGTATTTATTCTTCTGAGAAATGAGTATTTATCTCAGATGCCCATATTTGGATTGGGTCTTTGAATTTTGGGGACAAAATCTTTAAAATTCTTTATATGTTCTGAATAGAAATCCTTTTGTCTGAGAGACAATTGACTAAGCCATTTTCTGAATACATGGGTTTTCTTTTCATTATGTTGGAAATTTCTTTTGACATGCAAAAAGTTTTTAATAAGAAGAGATTCCAGTTGTTGATTCATAGAAACATTTACCATGAAATTTTATTTTTGTTCATGAAATCTCTGCCTACCCCTATGTCATCAAGAATTCTCCCTATTTCTTTTTTCAGAAGATTTAATGTTTCTGTTTTAATATTTAGATCTTTGAACCATTTTAACTTTAATTTAGTGCATGATGATAGACATGTATGTAGTTTTAGTTTCTGGCATATGGAAAATCAGGTTTCTCAGCACAACTTATTAAAGAGGCTATCTTTTAAAAAATAAAAAATAAAGAGGGTTGGTCCCTGTGTCAAAGATGAAGTGGTTGAGTGTTTGTAGTTGTGACTATATCTTTTAATTCATTCCATTGATCTTCAGGTCTGTTTTTATTCCAGTATTATGCTGACTTTATCACAGTATCTCTGTAATGTAATTTCAAGTCTGGAATTGTGATGTCTCCTGTATTACCTTTGTTGCCCAGAGTTGCATTTGCTATTCTACATTAATTTTGGTTTCAGATGAGTTTTAGGGATGATTTCTCTGGATCTGCGAGGTATGCAAATAGTATTTTGATTGGAATTGCATTAAATCTGTATAACAATTTGGGGAGAATAGCCATTTTCACAATGATTCCTCTTCCTATCCATCAATAGGGAATGTCTTTCCATTTTCTGAAATCCTCTTAACTGTCCTTTTTCAGAATAATGCAATTTTCCCTGTATAGATCTTTTACTTCCATTGTTAGATTGTTTCCTAATTATTTCACTTTTTTGGGTGCTATAGTGAAGTGTGTTGTTTCCCTTATTTGTCTTTCAGCGAGTGTTGTTTTTATACAGGAATTCTATTGATTTTTGAGTGTTTAGTGTGTATCCAATTACACTACTGAATTTGCATATTACATTTCGAAGTCTTTCTATGGAGTCTCATGGGTTTTCTATATAGAATATCATACCATCTGCAAATCATGATAATTTAACTTCTTCCTTTCCTACTTTTATTCCTTTTATTTCTCTCTCTTGTTTAATTGATCTGGCCAAAATTTCCAGATCTATGTAGAATAGGAAAGGTGATAGTGGTCATGCTTGTCTTTGTGACAATTTTAGGTTGAAAGTTTTCAGTAGTCACCTATTTAGTAGGGTGTTTCCTGATGATTTACAATATATGGCTTATATCAGATTGGGGTAGAAACCATCTGTCTCAGTTAATTTTTTCTCATCGCTGAGACAAAATACCTGGTGTCCAAAGTTGGGAAAGGAAATACTTGTTTCTTACAGATTTTGGAGGTTTCTGTCCATACTAAGTTGGCTCCACAGCAGGGTGGCATGGTGGGGCTGCAGTTCATGGCAGCTGCAAACAGTAAGTAGAAACTGGCAAGAGAGAAAGAGAGACATATCTTCTTCCTGCCATTATATTACATGCTGGCTCTACCCCTTTGTGGGTGTAGCACTGACACCATCAATCCAAGTGCTAGGCAATGAACCAGTCACAAATGCATAGTGCAAAGGCATGAGGCCTAGGGGCCACGAACATAAACCATGACAATCCACCCTTGGCCCCTAGAACTCATGTACATCTTTTATACAAAAGATACTTAGTCCATCGCCAAGAGTTGCCAATGTTCCAACAGTTTCAGCACTGCTGAAAAGTCCAAGTTCCAAGTCTCCTCCAAGAGCTATGGCAAATTCTTAACTATAAACCCCTGTAGAAATGAAAAGAGGTTAAATATTTCTGAAATGCAAAGGCATAAGATAAACATTACCATTCCAAAAGTTACAAACAGGAATATAAAGCACTGGAAACAAAGCAAGTCCAACATACAGCAGGGTGATCATTAAATCCTAGACTTCCAGGTTCAGCATTTGAAGCAATCTGGTTGCAAACTCCAAAAGGCTTGGGTGATTCCACCCCCGTGGCATTTCCAGGGATATCAGCTCCCACAGCTTGTCTCTTAAACCTCTCTGCTCACTTAATGCAGCTTTCCTTGGATGATCCATATTCCCGGATTTTCCAAACTTTTGGTGTCTCCATTGCACCTTTGGCTTCACTTTTATATCTTTACAAATTGCTCTCTCTGGGGCGCACTGCTTGGCCTCCCAGACCTTTGCAATCAAGAAGGAAGCCATCTTACCCTCAGAATTTGTGCATTTTTCTTGCACCTAAAATCAGCACCATGTGGATGCCACCAAGGTTTGCTGCCAGCTGGAGCAGTAGCCAAGTTTTTCTCTCTCTTGGCTGTAGGGGTCAATTACCTGGATCACTGGGCTCTGTGAACCTGATTGTGAAGAAAAACTTCTGTATGTTGCTGCCATTCTAGAACCTCATGTGGCAGCTGCCATGCTGGAACTTCATGTGTCCTCTGTCATCATTCTGGAACATGGTACTCTGCAGGTTTCTCCTCTGAGCAAATACTTTCACTTTTGAAGTTTGGAGGCTGCAAAGGGTGTAGACCCGATGCTTCCTGGGATAACCCCTGGCCATCTTTCTTATCTCTCTGTTTCTTCTCAGCAATCAAAGTGTCAGCTCTATCTTTACAATCCACAGCTTTACTGGAGTTTTCCTTCAGGCCAAACTAACAGCATTGTAAATTATCCTGCTGGGCTCTTTGCTCTTGATCTGCAACATTAAGCTGGCTGAAAGCCCCCAACAATAGCCGTGCTACAGCCTCACCATTCAACTGCCTTGAAATTTCCTTTACTAGATTAATCAGACAAATGTCCCAAGTCTCAGTCTCAGGCAAAATCTCTGGGCATGAGCAAAATATGGACAAACTTTCTGCTAAGCCATAATACACATTGTGGGGAGTCCTACAACAAATGCAGTCCTTCTTCCCAGCAGAAATCTCCCAAGCCTGGTCTTTAACATGAGGCTTTCTATCAGCCTTCAGCCTGCTGCTCTCCTGGGCTCTTACCAGAATCCCCTCTACAGAGCAGCCTAATCTGTTGCAGCTCTATGCATCAAGGTGACATGTTTGAACCTTTCCATACTCTGCCCACAAGCCATTTTGCAAAGCCCCTCAAAAAATATGGTCAGGTATAGTCACAGCAAATGACCTCACTCCCGGTAGCAAATTCTTTCTCAGTTACATTTTACTCATCACTGAGACAAAATACC